CCTGATGAAGTGGACTGCAAGGTTCACGAAACGTTGGCATTCCAAGAATGGATTTGAACACGGAGTAAACCCGCGAAACGCAAGATTGTCATATAGGAAACACCCGTGAAAGCCTCAAGAATATTTTTACCATTTTATTCCTTCTAAAGAAAAAGTAATAGTAACTTTAATTTTCTTAATTTATTTAACTCTAATGATATGTATCATTCGTATAAAAGATTTGATATCAACAAAATTGGTGCCAAGTTAAATTCCATGTAATTTGAATACCAAATTAAATAAATAATATTAACTTTAATGATATGTATCATTCCTATAAAAGATTTGATATCAAGATTTTTATACAATGAAACCTAAGTATACGTATATTTATTGAAGAATCTTCCTATTCCACAATCTAAATGATTTAATACAAAACATTATCACAAAATTGCGTTACCTTGCACAATTTAAGTGTTACCACAAAAATGAAAGAATTAACAGTATAAAATGAAAAACTTTAATTTTTTACTTAATCCAAATACTATCTTTAATTTTTATACAATGAAACCTAAGTATACGTATACTTATTGAAGAATCTTCCTATTCCACACAATCCAAATGATTTAAATTCCTCTTAAATGAAATTATTATATCACAATTCATTCAAAGACATTTCCTCTTCCAACTAAAGTAGTGGTTATTTAATTCTCCTTCAAAACATTATACAAAACATTATCACAAAATTGCGTTACCTTGCACAATTTAAGTGTTACCTCAAAAATTAGAGAATTAACAGTATAAAATGAAAAAATTTAATTTAAATAGAAAAATGTTTCATGTAAAAACACTTAGCGCTTCTAGATCTCGATATAATAACATGGTAGTATAGTAGTAAAAAATGAATGTAAATAAGAAGGATAAGAATATAATACTTAGAAAAATAATATAAATTAGAAGCTTATTAATAAAAAAAGTCAGAATCATATTAAAAAATATGAATATTTCGAAAAATAAGAAAAAAAAACCATCCCCAATGAAAGTTGAAATATCTAGCATGTGTATATATGATTGAGTTACAGAGTCGTGAAAATTATGATCGTTGTGAATGCTATTAAGCTTAAATCAAAGAAAAATAAATTTAGATTTGTAAGACATGCATTATGAAAGAGAATTTATTATTACTTTTATTATTACTTTTAAATGATATTACAATTATATCACAACAATTATTATTACTTTTAAATTATATACATACAATTATCTTTTATTATTTATTTTTATTAATTACCATTCCAATTTTTAATTGTTCTTATAGTTTTTCTTACTCTATCTAGCAGCGCCAAGTGTTTTTACATGAAAAATTTTTCTATTTAAATTAAATTTTTTCATTTTATACCGTTAATTCTTTAATTTTTGTGGTAACACTTAAATTGTGCAAGATAACGCAATTTTGTGATAATGTTTTGTATAATGTTTTGAAGGAGAATTAAATAACCACTACTTTAGTTGGAAGAAGGAAATGTCTTTGAATGAATTGTGATATAATAATTTCATTTAAGAGAAATTTAAATCATTTGAATTGTGTGGAATAGGAAGATTCTTCAATAAGTATACGTATACTTAGGTTTCATTGTATAAAAATTAAAGATAGTATTTGGATTAAGTAAAAAATTAAATTTATTCATTTTATACGGTTAATTCTTTAATTTTTGTGGTAACACTTAAATTGAGCAAGGTAACGCAATTTCGTGATAATGTTTTGTATAATGTTTTGAAGATTTTCTCTCTATTAAACAACAAACGTGATTAGTCATCAGTTTCGCGGCCGATAAAGTCATTGGCGTTGGTGAAACTGGCCCAAATGGTGACCTATGTGAACCTGGCACCCGACTTTAAGAAAAATAATTTTTTTTATATGCATTGGATAGAGCTAGGTTTGTACCCAATTGTACCACCGTTCTTTTCGTTTGTACCTCAAGGGGTTGAGAGAAGAAAAAATTTTAAAAAAAGTTAGCACCCCACTTTGAGATAATGAAATTTTTCAAACGCCATCAAATTCAGAATCGTTTGTACCCGTTTGTACCGCAGTTCGTTTCGTTTGTACCCTCAAGGGGGTGAATGAACCGAATTTTTAAAATAGGGGTGAGAGCTAACTCCGCCAATTTTTAAGATATCTTAAATCTGTAAACGGGTGAGGTTTCGACGTCGCTTGTAGACGTTTGTACCACCGTCGGTTTCATTTGTACCCCCGAGGGGGTGATTGTACCGAATTTTTAAGATAGGGGTGAGAGCTAACTCCGCCAATTTTTAAGATATCTTAAATCTGTAAACGGGTGCTGTTTCGGCCTCGCTTGTAGACGTTTGTACCACCGTCGGTTTCGTTTGTACCCCCGAGGGGGTGATTGTAACAAATTTTTAAGATAGGGATGAGAGCTAACTCCGCCAATTTTTAAGATATCTTAAATCTGTAAACGGGTGCTGTTTCGGTATCGCTTGTACACGTTTGTACCACCGTCGGTTTCGTTTGTACCCCCGAGGGGGTGATTGTAACGAATTTTTAAGATAGGGGTGAGAGCTAACTCCGCCAATTTTTTAACGTCTACAAGCGATGCCGAAACAGCACCCGTTTACAGATTTAAGATATCTTAAAAATTGGCGGAATTAGCTCTCACCTCTATTTTAAAAATTCGGTACAATCACCCCCTCGGGGGTACAAACGAAACTGACGGTGGTACAAACGTCTACAAGCGACGTCGAAACAGCACCCGTTTACAAATTTAAAATATCTTAAAAATTGGCAGAGTTAGCTCTCACCCCTATCTTAAAAATTCGGTACAATCACCCCCTCGGGGGTACAAACGAAACCGACGGTGGTACAAACGTCTACAAGCGATGCCGAAACAACACCCGTTTACAGATTTAAGATATCTTAAAAATTGGCAGAGTTAGCTCTCACCCCTATCTTAAAAATTCGGGGGTACAAACGAAACCGACGGTGGTACAAACGTCTACAAGCGATGCCGAAACAGCACCCGTTTATAGATTTAAGATATCTTAACAATTGGCGGAGTTAGCTCTCACCCCTATTTTAAAAATTCGGTACATTCACCCCCTTGAGGGTACAAATGAAACGAACTGCGGTACAAACGGGTACAAACGATTCTGAATTTGATGGCGTTTGAAAAATTTCATTATCTCAAAGTGGGGTGCTAACTTTTAAAAAAATTTTTTTTTCTCTCAACCCTTTGAGGTACAAACGAAAAGAACGGTGGTACAATTGGGTACAAACCTAGCTCTATCCAATGCATATAAAAAAAATTGTTTTTCTTAAAGTCGGGTGCCAGGTTCACATAGGTCAAATGGTGATTCTTTACGAGAAACACACACGCTTAGCGCTTTTTTTTACCTTTTTTTAAAAAGGTAAATTTGTATACGATCATATATACAAAGGTATCATCAACTCGATTAATCCTAATCGGTGATTCACTGCCAACCGTAAGTGGTTAATTCTACTAAATAGTAAACGCGATTAGTCATCAGTTTCATGGCCGGTTAAGTAATTGGCGTTGGTGAAACTGGCCCAAATGGTGATTCTTTACGAGAAACACACACGCTTAGCGCTTTCTTTTACCTTTTTTTAAAAAGGTAAATTTGTATACGATCATATATACAAAGGTATCATCAACTCGATTAATCCTAATCGGTGATTCACTGCCAACCGTAAGTGGTCAATTCTACTAAACAGTAAACGCGATTAGTCATCAGTTCCACGGCTGATTAAGTAATTGACGTTGGTGAAACCGGCCCAAATGGTGGTTCTACTCGATATGTAATAAACACAAGTAATATTATATTTTATTCCTCCCGCAAATTATCTAATTATTATTAAGTATTTTTTTAAAAAATTTATTTTCAGGTATTATTGAAAATTGGTGGGATTCGTCGACTTTACCTCAACTGATTAGACTATTAAAAACTTTATTTTTCAAAGCTGGACCAGTTTGTTGGAACATTTTGATTAGGAACAAAATTGAGAAAATACACGCTCTGCTGAAGCATTTGAAACTGGAATTGAAGCTATAAATTGTAATACTTTAAGAAAATTCTTTAAGTCCTGTTCTGATTATAAAAAGTCGGTGACGGTGACCAATTTGCAGTGTGGCGTGTGATATCACTGAAATCGGGACAAATGGCGTCCCGCTTAGGATTCTTTCGGGACGCCTCTGAAAGAGTCGAAAATAGGGACGTTCCACAAAATTCGGGACGATTGGCCACCCTATATATGACCATTATTTAAAACTCTAAATAATCTTCGAAGTACCCGACCTTTTTGGCGGGAAGAATCGCATGGTCGTGCACGACAAAAATCTCGTACCACTCAACACATATTTTACAACACAATATTTAATTTATATTATTATTACAATGTTTTGTTTATAATTAAAGAAAAAGAACTTTTTGTATGGCGATACCAATGTGAGCCATGTTCGAGCACATGCGTACGTGTGACATTTGTCATAAATATGGTCATGAAGATTGTAAAGGATGAATTAAAAACCATAAAAGGCCTTTTACTAGTCCGAACTGCGAGTAAATCCATAAGCAGCTGTGTGCAGTTGGCTCCTCACTATTAAAAATCTAAAAATGACCATAACTATTCGTTTGGTAGTCGTTTGGTGATAGTCCATTCCGGACGTTTGATAGTCAAAAATATAACGAAAAATATCAAAAAGAGATGAACGCGCGTAGGGTTGCCATTTCAAAAAGTTAAAAACTAGAACTGACGAACCGAAAACCCCGGATATTTCGTTTGCTATCTCGGACGTATACATTTGCTTACCTTTTTTGGTGCTCTAGAAATAATTATTTCACATATAAGCCTTTTAAATTTTTAGATAAATAATATTTCCATTAACAGGGGTTTTTCTTTAATTGATAATACGTTATCAAAAAATATTTGACTAAGTACATATATTTAGTTGCTTTTTCCTTACAAATTGCACAATACTATCACTTCTTTATTATCATGTTTACAATATAACATCATTATTATGTTTACAGTATAACACCTTACAGGTCGCGCGCGACGAACATCGCGCTGGTGTGCAGCTGGGATTACATTATATGCGAATAAATTTTATTCTCAATCTGCGTCCTACAGGGCTGCCAATCTTTAATGTCAACACTACATTTACACGCCAAAGTTTTTTTTGCCATCCAGTCAAAAAATATTTCCTTTTTATATAAAACCCCGGACTCTCATGATTATCCCAGACGCCTTTCGAAAAGGCTCCTATTATGAGATACCGAGTTCATTTTGGGTAAATGCTAGAAGTCTATAGGCAGAATTAAAAAAAAATAATAGGTCATTTTGAAGAGAATTTAATAAGCTTTAAGATAACGTTATATAAAATTTAATTCAAATTCCATTTTTTTTGAAAATTAAAGAAATGTAAAAAGTGAGTAAATCGCAAAGTCGAGAGAGAGAGAGAGAGAGAGAGAGAGAGAGAGAGAGAGAGAAATTGTGTTCCTAATATGAGATGCCCCGAGAAATCGATAGTAAAACGCAAAGTATATCAATATTGCAATTAAAAAACTTTATTTAATGTTTCTAAAGTACAAACAAACACAGCCAGCATACGCGAAAAATGAGATAGATTATATCCAGAACTCGTCTTCAGGTAGTTTAGGAATCAAGCATCGTAGACGTTTATAGGCACTCGACGTTTATTCCGGTTGTCTTTTTTATTATTGTACAATAACATTTATACTTTAGCAACGACTTTCACTGTAACATAGGAACATGGGTTACTTCATATTAGAAATATCCTGGGTATTTCATATTACGATTTCCTTATCTTTACTATCATTAAATCTAACTTCTGTAATTAAACAATTCAACATATCCCGTATTTTTCTATTAGTACGACTTTACTCTGTCACTACACAAAGAATTTATTGCCAAATATTTATTTATTAAATAATAAACAAGGTTTAAAGGCTCATCTCAATGAAACTTGAAGATATCCAAATTCTAAAATTTTGTTTTACATTGACTACAGGCATAGTATAATAATGAATTTTCTACTAAATAGTTTTCAATCCAAGAGCTATAAATTCATGGTGGAACCAATAGATAGCGTTTATTAGTTTAGCAGAAACGCCGTTATCTCATATTAAGCGCCTATCTCATAATAGGGGGCTTCCCTCTATTGCTGCATGTGGTTCTATCTTTGCTTCTTCATTACAACATATATTGTACGGACTTCATTAAATCATTATATATTCTCCAAGTACCGTGTATTCTTCTGATATATATTATGTTGACTAGTATACGCGATTACACCAGCCAATCTAAAAATTCAATATGAGGCAATGGTGAGCTATAACGAGTGTAACGAGTATAATGAGTGATTTTTAAAAAGGTTTATATAGTCACATATTCATAAAGACTATGCTTTCTATGTAAATATCTAATGTCACAAATTTAAAAAAAAATGTTAAATATATTCTTTAATTAAAAAATGCATGCGTCTCTTTACATGTGTACAAATAATTTTTACATATTAAAAATGTTTAATATAAAATAATGTAAAAATACCAATTTATCATATATATATATGTATGTATCATATATATATACATATATATGTATAAAGTAAGAAAACATGGAATTTTATTTAAATAATGTGCAATTGCAAGGTATGTTATTATATTATTACAGTATAATATAATATAATATATTATACCTGCTATATTATACAATATTATACAATATTATATAGACATTTTATTATGTTTGTGAGAGTAAAATTATCTTACTCATAAATTACACAATTCATTGTGTATATTTCCTATCCCTTTTTTTCTATTATCCCTGTATTTTGTTGTCATAGACAGATTTCTATTCAAGTAGTTATAATAAAATTATTTTTTGTGCATGCAATAAAATTAAATGTATTTTATTTCTTATTTATATACAAATTTTTATATAAGTTTTATTTGTTAGAAACAGATTTTTTAATAAAGTTGCAAAATTGTATCATACATATGTTCCTGTTTTAAAATATTTATTGTTATAGGAAAATCTTTTAATTGACAACTAATGCCTGTCTTATCATCCAAACATATCCGAATCAAGTTCAATATATAGATGTAAATTAAATTTAACGTAGTGCGGCGTCCAGGACATTCAGATTGTTGACATTTAACATTCTTTATTTGAAAATTGTGATGAAGTGCTTCTTCCAAGCACATGAATCCCTTTTTAGGAATTATTTGATGATTAACACCAGGTACTGATATATTATGTATCTCTTTTTGACATTCATATGAGGAACATTCATATTTTATTGACGCATGGTTGATCTTTAGAAAGATTTGTCCACATCACACACACACACACATACCCCACAGCAATATTATTATATACGTCTATTATATGCACATTGCTAGCTTCTGTTGTTGGTAATTTTAAATCATTATTATTTAATAATAATAAAATTCTCTCTTTATAAATAGTGGTATTTACACCGTTATTTAAAATTAATTGACAAAATTTTAGGAAATTATTATTCGAATTACTTATATAATTAAAATAATTTTCATCTTTTAAAGCAATAAGTGTAATAATTTGGGCAATCGAGTCAAAAGAACAAGTATTTCGAATTTCATATGTAGTTCCATTGATTTTCAGTGGTTGTAAGAAAAAAACCATTTTGGAGGAAGAATTTTTTTGTTGATTTTTTTAACTTTCTGTTTTTAATATATTTTATTTCCGGATATGGCTTAAAATATTTGGATTTTCTGTTAGTGAGATTGTTAAGTGATTTTGTACGTTCTGATAATTTGATATTTTCATTGATTTCTTCATTTTGTTGTAATGAATGTGTTTCAATTTCACCTTTATTCATCTAATTTTCAAATTGATTCATATCTTCATTATTATCAATTTCCTTATCAATATTACTATTTATATGAGTAGTCTTTATATAATATTATTGTCATAATGATTAATATTTAAAACATTATTGTTCATATTAGAAGTTACAATAGCAGCAGATGCTATTTTCATAGTTCCATCAATGGATCGTAAATGCATCTTGATAAATTTGTCTGCACGCAAAAGAGTTTGTACATTTTTGAAAATGTATTCTCGCAAGTCTTTAAAGTATTCTTCACAATGTGCTGATGTTGCACGTACATACTTCGAAGTAAATATGGGAGCTAAAACTCCAGACCATAATGGAAATTCTAAACATAATCTTGTTATTTGTTTATAGAATTCAGGTAAATAAAAAGCATTTAAATGAGAAGCTTTTTTATCATTATCTATTTCCGCTTGCATTTTTAACTTCTCAATCCAAATATGAATTTCGTCACTATACTTATCATCCTCATGATTATTTGCATTCATTATAACATCGTTTTTTTTTATTTTGTCAGTAACTTCTATATGATCAATATCAAGACTAATATGATGAATTTCTGTTGCGATATAATCTAAATTTTTTTAGCTTCCTCTGCTGGTGAAGGCAATCCCATACTATGACATCCTTCATATTGTAGAATACTGACAGTTAATGTAAGCAATAAAATTGATTCAAATTTTTGGAATGACTGACAACTTATCATAAATGCAACACATCTTACAAAAAATGTTTTTATTTTGAAATGTATTTTATCGAAACATTTCCAATGACAAACAAGTTTTATTAAGTGTGCAACATCAACTCTTAACAGGTATGTAAATATGAAACCGGAATTTTTTAATAGAAAATACACGTTTATTGCATGAAAATGATAAAAAATATTTTATTCGAAGTATTGCCCATCGCTAGCTATACATTTTTCCCACCTGTCTGACAATTTGTGGATGCCACGCCAAAAAAATTGTTGCTCTTTTGAGCCAAACCAGTCATCTAGCCATTTTCGTACATCTTCGTAAGAAGTGAAGCGCTGCTGA